GTCCTTATGACGGTTTTATAACGTTATTTTAATGTCACCTTTGTCGTTATTTGAGACGTCATCATGACGTTATATTTGATATTGTTACTCCTTTGTAACTTTTCTATAGAAACTGCGGGTCACTAAATAAAACAGAATTAATATGAAATGAAATTAATGAAATTAAAATGAAATAATTGTAATTAAAAAGAAAAAACAGTTTAAAAAAACATTAATTTATATAAATCCAACTGTTCCAAATGTGGCCAACTTGTTCGTTATTATTTTGGCTTTGGCACAATTATGAAGACTACTGGCACATTTAATTTCTAATGATTTTTCTATGAGTGTCGTCATTTTATACTATTTCACGAACCTGGGAACATTTTAGGAAACAGCCTATGTATGTAATAGATATAAAATCATTAAAGAATAAGGAAAATATAGATATAAAAATACTAAAGTCACATACCTTATGCTGGGTTGATATTGATATAACTTTTTTCACTGAATTTCTCTTAACTTTTAACGATGCACACACCATTACACATGGCCGATGCAACAATCCGCGATAACGTTCTCGTTGGTCGAACGGCTCAAACACACACGAGTCATACTCCACAGACCGATAACCACAGACAAACACAGTCATGTGTCACGTGCAATCTTTAAGCATTTTAAGCGCCAGATTTAAACGTTAATAGACCTAAGAGTTTAATATAAACCTTAATTTAATAGTGACAATAAATTTATCACTGACGTCGAATTTGTGACGTCAAAAAAACGTTAAAGAAGGGACGTCATAATCACCTCATTTTTTGGTAACATGACGTCGATGACCAAGAATTACCAAAAAATGTTGTCAAAATGTCGTCAATCTGCTGCTTGGGACACGTGACTGCGTGTGAATCGTAGAGCAACCCGTTTCGTCAAGGTTCCACACGTTTTGAGGTTAAAGTGAGTACTTTTCATAGATTTTTTAGGAGCTTCCTAAAAAATATTTCAACATTTGGTTTGTTGAAAGATGCCATTCGACCTAGGCTAGTAAACTCCGGTTTTCGAAGAGATATTCTGTTATGAATTGCGAAAAGTTCGGTACCACTGTCTTTCTGCTTATCCACGTTCTTTCCATTATTCTGGATATTTAACTTTGTCTGCTTTGGCATATTGGAAAGCTAATTTCTTCATTTCGTCCATGGTCAAACCAAAGTTTCATTGTGCAGCCTCTAAAATATTTGAGAGAAGTTATTCTTCTTGCTCAACGGTGAAGATCTTTTGCGTCGCATTGTTGGCTTCGTATTTGAAATCAGTTTGATCAGACAACTTGTATTTTTTTATGTGCCTGGCAAGAGTGCTTTTTGATAAACCATATTATATTGTCGCCACTTCTCGCACAGACTGTTTGTTTGTGATAACATTCTTAACAGCTGCCTTAACATTTTCTGCTACTGGTTTCGTCCTCTTTCTTCCTGTTGCACTTCTGCCCATCTGTAACAGTGGTGAAATTGCAATTTATTGTAAAAGCTATTTATTTTTTAATGTTAAAAAATTCATTTTGTCAAAAGGTTGTACCTTGGGACACGTTTCAAGGTACAACCCGCAAAGTGTCCTAACGTGCAACCTAGCACACTTGACAAAATGAATTTCTTAACATTAAAAAACTAAATTTCTTTTCAATATTTTCTTGCATGGACTGCTTGCTTAAATAACACATGGGGTAAAGTAAATAAATTATGCTTACCATGCTTGTATACGAGCTGGGAGTTGCCGCAAAATTTTACTTTCAGGGCGCGAAAACGATAAATCTGACATTTGACCTTGGAACAATGACTGAAATAGAATGATATTGGTGGGTAACACAAAGAATAGTGTTGGTAACATAATATGTAGTTCTGAGAGTTACCGCTAGAGTGGTTGAATTTTGAGGTAGGTAAAACCGTCGCAAGGTACAACCCTTTCCCCTACTTAAATAATCGTTTTCTATATTATTATCATATCTAATATAAATGGATGATATAGTCAGTAGTTTAGTATTACATCTAAACTTTTTAATATATCATTTGAAATTGAATGTAATGTCTTCATTGCTAAAAGTATAATACCTAGATAGTTTTACTTACTTGCTAATTGAATTAAATTATTAAATTTTTATTGGTAATCATTTATTTATAATTGAAGTAGTCATAACCAATATTCTATGATCGTTATAATTTGAAACTTATTGTAATGTGTAAAAATTGCATTTCAAGAACGAGAAAATTTAAAAAACCGGTCCTAACTGGACAAAACTAGACAAGACAAAAAGGTTTATCAAAGTTTTGTTCCTAATTTAAACCTATAAATTATTCATCCCACTCACTCACAACTAAGAACAAAGTGCATATAGTTAGTGTTCACATATTACAAAACAGAAAAACTATAGATTAGCTTAGCCAACACATAGTCCACTTATCATGGCGATCAGCATGAAGGGGGTCATTTTATTACATTGACCCATACCCATAGCGGTATCTAGACTTTCTGAGAACTATGATTTTATCACATTTGTCTATCCATCATACTAAAAATATACATCTGTACTATAAGAAATACAAGTGTTCAAGCCATTAGACACAGATGCAGTAGCAGGATGAGTGCTTGACCAGTCCAATCACCTCTGCAATCTTTACATAGCGCATTCATTGCTGATACATTGTGTCTAGTGGCATGAGCTTATGTTTAAAATCAGTACTATATTTTGGTACCTTTAAAAATATGCAGACATCTACTACAAATTGCTCTGTCACGAAATAATGCTGAACGAAATAGCGCGTATCAAAAAACGCTATTGTTTGACCATCTAATCAAAATAGCGCCTAACGAAATAGCTCCCACTCAAAAAGCGCGTATCAAAACAGCGCCTAAACAAAATAGCGTTTATATTAATAGCGCTGGTCAAAAAAACGCACGAACACAAAAGCTCCTAGAGCCATCACGGGGTGCTTGGCCAAAAAAATAAAAAAAAATACACACAATGAAAAAATTAAATGAAAAACTTAACTAATTTACCTAACCTGTACGTGACAGATCGGTTAAATTTAAATAGCTTCAGGCCGCACAGGTTATGTAAATTAGTTAAGTATTTTTTTTAATAATTTTATTTCAGTCATACGCGTTGTTTTAATGTGCGCTATTTCGATAAGGCGCTGTTTTATTCTGGCCCTATTTTGACTGATTTTATATTGGAAAGCGCTGTTTCGTTCAGGCACTCTTTTGATGCACGCTATTTCGTGACAGAGCCATTAAAAATATAGTTCGTGCAATATGTATTTGCAGAATACTATTATATGTAAAAATATTGTAACGCCATAGATGTACATAAAAAACTTATTGGTAAAACAATGAAAAAGGCTGAAAAAATAAACATGGTTTGCGGAACTTTTCTCAAGGCGAAGCAAAGGCGTTTTTAACAAAGGACAAACAAGATCTTGTAAGAAAATAGTCAAGGGAAATAATTTGTCTTATATCGACAACAAATAGAAAATTTGGTTATGTAGAGGTATGGTATGATCTTACAAGCATGCATATAAGGTTCTGGCGGGGAATAGAGAAGCATGGAGAGATAATCAATAATTTACACAGAAATATTGAATACTTTTCTGAAAATAATAATAATTACAGTATGGTTTACAGTGCTGCGAGATCAAACCTTTGAGTCTACCTCTTTGCTTGTGTTGAAGTGAATAATAAATACAACAAAGCGGACACGAAGGTTTAATTCCACTTAGGTCGCTAACGAAAGCTACATATTATTTTTCCAACAATAAAAAAAATTGTAAATATTTGCATAGTCAAGAAAAAAATATGTAAAAATATTGGACCTATTCACCACAAAATAAAAAGCTCACTACTTTATCTTTCCCAAACAACACTGTATACATAAGGTAATGTTAAGCAAAATGTTAATATTTTAATTGACTCTAAACACTTGAGTTATTTTTCCGAAATGAATTATGATTCTGGTTGATAATCATCAAGATGTAGATATGATTTATAGACTCAACTTTTTGTATAAATAAATATTTAATGTTTACAGTTTTTATTTTCCTTTATTTCCTCTGAAAACTGAAGGTAGAGGTAGAAAGTCAACAATTGCGAATTGTTGTACGTAAATTTTAATTATTTAATCAACACACTCCCATATGTGGGCTGCAACTGAGGTGTAAACCGCGATTCGGAATCGTGTAGGTATACCAATTCCAACGAAAATTCCAATAAAAAAAACCCAAGAATTCCAATGAAAATTTCATCAATTACAACAATTAAAACAATTCTAATCATTCCAGTTCGAGTTATACTTTTAATTGTTTGCTTTACAGAGGCTTTTTTGGAATTGTTATAACAGGTTAAGCAGCTTTTTAAAATAAGTGGCTGAAAACTAAAATTACGCTAATTTGTTGAGGAAAAAAGTGTTAATTATGCATAGCATTGTGCGGTTTAGTATTACACGTTATTTCAGTATAATTAAGTTAACAGACACTATGGTATACTAGCGGGTAAAACTTTAGTTTTTAAGATTGCAACCTTAGTTATGTTAGAACAAAATTATTCATTGATCAACTTTTGATCAGATTGTAATGTTAACAGATGCCCCTTATGGGTTGTTTCAAAAAATACTTTAATGTTTAAAACTTTTTGACAATAGCTATTTTGTAATCCAAACGTAGTTGGGATTCACCTATTGCCGAAAAATTTGACATTTGAAGATATGATCGATTTGACTTGTTAGTGTGATCAAATGGTGTTCAAAAGTGCCTGTTTCGTAACATGAGTGCGGTAGAAGGTTTCTCAACGCAATTATTTGTTTTTTGGGGTGCTGAATACGATTCTGAAGTTTACTGCCTCGTAGCAGTGCCGCTTCAGGTCGAAAAACGCAAAAATCCTCGAAATTTTTGGAGTTTTTCTGGTTTTCCTCTCATATAATGGAAACGACGCATCGTACGGAAAATGTCATTCTATTTAAAGTTGAAGAGCATAAAATTATGCGTCGAAAAACCTTCCTAACTTTTAAACTAGACCGATTTATAAGATCGCTATCGTCAGTCGAAAAAAGCCAATTTTTTGCAACTTTTGTGAAAACTGCAAGAAATTCACTTTTAGACGCCTGTGATGTAAAAATAGCACCAACTCATCAAACTGTTGCGATTGTGGGGGAAGATGTAGATGTGCTGGTGATAATGATGGGTCTCAACACTTCTCCAAACGTCTATCTGCTGAAGCCAGGGAAAGGGAAAGCACCTCAGTTGCTGTACCAACCACAGTCTGCAATGAAACAAAATCTTGCCAAGCACATGATGTTTCCGCACGCGATGAGTAGATGCGACTCGACCAAGGCAAGACTAAATTCTTGAAGACTCTCTAAATATCCAGACCTTGAAAAGACCGTTGGGAAATTCTTGGATCCGTCAGCCCAGCCAACGGCAATTGCTGCTGCTGGAGAAAAATTTTTGGCGGCCCTGTACGGGGCTAACCATCTAACAACTTCCTTGAATGCGCTGCGACACAAGCAGTACGTGACATCTGCCTTCAAATTTTCCAGCAACATTGCATGTTTAGCACCCCAAAAAACATATAATTCCGTTGACAAACTTTCTACCGCTTTCATGTTACCGAAAAACTACCATTTGATCAGGCTATGTACCAAGTAGGGATGGGCGCATGCCTCTACATTGTAGTAGAGATGTAGCGATCAAAAGAATCATTAACAAACTCAAGCTAAATACAGTAGGCTGCATACGTCAATACAAAAATAAAATGTAAAAAGACGCTTACCCAGACAGTACACATAGTCCAATGGACGTCCCCTTTAAATCCATTTGAGGGTCAGAACCATAGATATATAACCAAGAGTCAGAACGTCTATATCGATGGTTTGGTGTACACAGGTGTTGACATGTGTTAAGTAACATTTTTCTAATATTTGATCATTTAAGTTTAAAGGTTTTAAGCTATAGCTCTCTGTTACTTCACATGAAATGTATTTAGTAAACCTTTTCAACAATTCTTCGTTTTTTCTGATTACATAATGAAGAAAAATTATTTGTACACAATTTGTCCCAAGAATGAACTTTTAACACCTGTGTGCCCTAAGCCTTCGTTAACTGTATTTGGACATTCGTTTATGATCATTAATTTGTTTTTGGACTTAATTTTAATTTAGTAGTATTTTGACGTCCATCTTTTAGGTCATTATTTATTTAGGCTACCAAATAATACCCATCTATATACACTTTCTTTTTTTTTTTAATTTATTTGGTCATTAAAAATTGACAAATTGAATCTATTGCATTTCATTCTGGGTTGCAAAAATATTTAATTAATAATATAAAAAAACATACTGATTGTCCTAAATTAAAATTGACATAACTTAACATAAAATTCGAGGTCGGTGAAGTTGGCACCCTCAATGATATTTTTGCAAAAAGAAAACTATTGCACCAAAATGCACTATTGCATATCCATATCCGGTACTCTGATATTTTTTCCCTATATCCGACGCAACTCTACTAATGCCTAAGCTAAAATCCTGGATCTTATATTTTATATTGGTTTTTCCGGCTTACCCGCATTTAACAATATAGTTGAAAAACCTGAACGTGAAATTATTAAAAATATTCGATTTTTAAAACGTGTTTTTATCAAAATCTTATATTTTTTAAATGGCACCTATAGATGCCCATTTTGTCTTTAAATGGAAAATGTTATTACCTTATGACCCAATATGCATCACTTAGATTATTTGTCTGTTGATGGCCTTCTATTTAATTTTTTTTTGTTATTATTTATTTGAAAATGGTTAAAATTTTGTAACATGATCATATAAATTGACGTAGATTCCAAAAAAAAATATAAAATATACAGGGTGGCTCACGCTCAACGGGACGGAGCTTTATGGGAAAACGACCAAAGATATAAAAAATTCGTTTGGGAGGAATACGTAGGTTACAGACGGCTACAATTTAAAATTTGTTAGATGTATACAGGATGTCCCACATAAGAAAAAAAAAATTAGTTCATTAAAAATTATTCAAACAAGAGTAAACAATTAATTTCTGGGAGACTTTTTTTCCTTAAAAATTCAAATAAATTGAAAACTAATAATAATAGTAATAGGGAACCTTTAGTTAACTGACATTATTTTTGATGTAGTTTTTAATTCTAAAATAAAAAACAGGGTGTTCTTCTACACCCCACTTAGGGTCACCACCGGTTTTTAAAAGCCATTTTAAAGCGTTGATTTTATGAAAATGTTTTGAAAAAAAAAGGTATTGTTAAATGTCGAATTGCTGGAATTTTGAGGATTGAAGCGGCAGACGAAAGTTCCAATGAAATAAATAGAAACACAATAAAAAACATCTATTAACTATCATGAATTTAGGAGAAGATTTTTGATGAGTTATTAATACACATATAATGGAGTATTGTATATATACAGAGTGAACATTTGAAAACGAAACAGAACGAATTTTTGGCACCTCAGGTCATTTACGAAAAAACGCTCGGATCCGTCAATTTTTGATTTTAGGGGGAAACATTTTTTTGTCACCCTCTAGCGGGGGTGAAACTTACCCCTAAAATCTTAAAATTGAAAGAGAGGTTGAATAATATCCTATTTTTTACTTAAATTAAAACCCCCGAGTTTTAAATAGATTAGCTGTCTTCGTAGCCATGAATTGATGATATTCATCAATTATCAGGTGTCGCAGATTTTTCAGTGTTGGCTGGGTGGCATAAATTTTAGTTTTTAAGTGGCACCATAAAAATCTAACGGGGTTAGATCCGAAGACCTTGGGGGCCACTCAATACTTTCTCTTCTTCCGATCCATTGACCTGGATAGCTTTGATGCAAATGCTGACGAACAGTGCAAAATGGGGTGGCGCACTGTCTTGCTGGAATATTAAGTTGTTTGCTATGTATTGCACGTCTCAATCAACTCTAGTAATGCTGGATAAATGGCGTTTTCTAATAATTCCAGATATATTTTTGCGGTTAAAGTTCCAGGTAAAAAAGAGGCCAGTTTAGCAAGATATTCTGATGTATGCTCGAGGGCATCTTCTGTGATTTCTCTTAACTTTTCTTCTAGGTTTGTACTTGAACTGATGATTAGAGTTTCAGGCACAACAAGCCTGTTGATGATAATGAACTGCTTGAATCTGGTGTTTTTTTTTTTAATATAGACGTGCTATATACCTAGCTGTAGATTCAATTTTTATAAAATTTCAGGGGTTATATATTCTTTCTTAGACAAGTCTATATAGTATTTACTTTTGCTTTTAAAACTCCTAGAATGTCATCAGGTACAATTAAAGGAAACCTAAAATATAATATTTTTAAAATGTATTTTTAGTTTAAGTATATTATACCTCTTTTATAAGTATTTATAAGTAAAATGTAACTGGACATTCGGTTGTTTATCTTTTCGTTTACGATGTTCACCTACACCATTCTTTGTTTTTATAGTAGTTAAACCATTCTGTATTGGGTGGATACCTAATGAATGAAATAATAAATTTACACCAGACATTGTGAAAATGGTTTAGAAAATAGTTTTCTATTTTAGAGGATCCTTACCAATTCTATTCAGATGTATAAAAATTATTTATAAAATAAATTCTAGTTAAAAAACAACCATCAAAAAGATGATATAGGTATGACAATTGATATAAACATAATCGTTCCGAATTCAGATTAGATGTTCATAGTACTTTTCTTGGATAATTTTTTAGAAAAGTACTTTATTACGTTGTGTTAACATAACAGGTAGGTTAAATAGGTAAGTAACAAATAGAAGTTTTGCGAGGTTTTGATTTCCCTCAATAACTTCTCATGAACGCTGCATTTACGTTGCCTAGTAATATTATTACGTTCTCTTAAAGCAACATCGCCGAAAGGCTTGGCAACGTTATGCGCTAGCTGGGTAGCTTTAAAGGTGTTCAGGGAAGAACCGATAAAATCAATGCCCTGCTCATCAAGAATATTGGCTGTTCTTGATAAGCGAAAGCCAACAAACTGTGGTTATGATTGGTCCTATTCTGAATTCTAAGTGAGAAAAGAGACAGAAGTTCTGGGCAACAAATATCCCCTGACAATAGTTTGAATAGCAAAGTAATTTCCATAAATATTCTAAGGTTTTCTAATGTTAATAAGTTAAGTGTATTCAAAACTTCCTCATAACTGTAATTGCCAACCTGTATAAGTGCATTTTATATGCTGCATATCTCAAAAATTTGTGTCGTATTCGTTCCATTGCTGATATATGAACTGCATAATAAGGCTTCCAGACTATATAGAAGCATATTGCAGTAACGAACATACCAAAGCATTATAAACCACTGAAATAGCTTTAATTGATAAAACCTTTGAATTAAGCATGTAAACCCCAACATTTGATAGCCCTAGCTAGTAATGGTATTAGAGTCTCTGCCTGCGGATCCAAGGTTCGAATCCCACCGTTGGACGGGATTTTTTTGTTTAATTTAATTATTTAAAATTAATTCTGATGCCTTGGTAGGATTCCCGACTCGACCATTCACTGTTGGGTTCTAATTAACAGTGCTGTTCCTAAAGTGGCGCTGGTAAACAGTAACAAAGCCTGCAGAGAACACGAGACTAATGGCCTAAGTAGTCGATGCCAAAAAAAATATTATGTTCAGTAAATGTCAACCGACTATCGAACCTGATACCCAGATTCTTGATAGTAACAACTCTGTTCATGGGTACATTATTAAGTGAATAATTGAAAACGATGGGAGTTGTATTTCTAGTAAAAGTAATTGAGTAGGTAACATTTATCAGTGTTCAGAGAACTACCGTTAGCAACAGACCAATTGGTAAGTGTTAAAATGTCGCTTTCCAATTTATAACTCAGTCCTCCCAGGAAGTAATTCTCAATTACATATTCAAGTCATCAGCGAACAGTAAAAATTTGCAGAACTCAAAAATTGAACCTATATCATTTACAAAGAGGTTGAAAAGCAGTGGCCCCAAATGAGAGCCCTGCGGAACTCCTAAGGAAACCATGACTGAATTTGAAGTGTGAATTTTGTGACTTACTGATAGGAAACCAGTTTTAATCATTCATTCTGTTTTCTTTCAAACAAAAAAGAAAATATAAATAACAATCCTGTTTATACCTTTTAACTTCACGCTATTATTTAAAAGGTATTTTTTATTTTGACAGAATAGGTTAATTTTTCAAAGGCAACTTATTAGACTTAGGCAACTTCTCATACATTTTCCCGTAAATACTGTTGCCTACCTTTATTTTATTATTGATTTTTAATGAATATATTTAATTTTTGTTAGTTTAAGCAATAAAAATATATAATAATAATAATAAATTAATGTATTACTTGTTTTACAAATCCATATACCTTTATTAAAACTAACATATACACTTTTTAATTACGAATTCTATTAAAAATTGTATTGTCAGTATACGCAAAAATAGTACATTAGTCCAAAAATGAATTAGCGCTGCTGTCGCGCACGGAGCGAATAGGAACTAGATAAAAGAAAAGAAAAGCCATTAATTTATTTCAAAATAAGACCACGAAAATGAAAAGATTGTAAAAATGACCAAAATATTGGAATTACCTACAAAAACAAATTCGAGGCAGAAGAAAATAGCAAAATATTTATTTGTAATTTAATATTTTAAATAAAAATACATCGAAATGTATTCCGAGGAATATAATATTTTAAATAAAAAGAAATTACTTATATTACTTGATTGAGAAATTGTTAACAATTCTAAAAAAGATTTATAACATGTCAGAAGCACAGTTATCCTAAGTCCACTTTATTTTCCATCGAAGAAATACAGCACAACCAATTAGAATATATAATGTCATTAAAGATAAAATAACTTTTGCTCAAATGGACTTAGAATATTGTGTTTCTGTTACACAAATTTTCAAACTATGATTGCAACTTAACATCAGTCGTAACTAGGTAACCAAAAGTTACCATGATTCACTTACAGACTTTTTATTAACAAAACACTCTTTAAAACCCTTTATTAAGTCTTTATATTTATACCAGATAACATTCACTTCAGTCTCTTCATTATCACATTTTTTGCTAATCACATTACAACTAAGATCATTAAAAACAGTTAGGTTTTCACAACAGTTTGTATCGAGTGTAGTATCTGATTTCAATGATATTTTTGTGTATTTGGTTTTTGTAGAGAAAGTCAATGGTATTGTAGGCACAAAAACACTATTGTTGTCAGAATTTATATTTGAATTATCTCCAGTCTTGACAATATATAGGTAAACGTTTGTGCAGGACACTGAAGCATCAATTTTGTCCACCCAGTCTTGAGAAAGAAATAATTTTCTAAAATAAAAAAATATATAGGTACTTACTTAAATGTAAATAAGATTTTAGATAAGGGTGATTATCAGTAATAAGAACAAATATACCTATAGGTATTTTATCAATGTTTGGACCTGAGTTAAACCAATCAGGTAGTATGTAGCTTGTCCAATTTTATTTTATATATTTTTTTTTCTGTAAAATTGATGTACAAAACAAGTACAATTTTGTTTCTATTCAACAGGGTCCGATTAGCAGGAAATAAGTCATGCCCCTATTTTTGATAGACTATCTTTAATATATATTTATTTTTATGGGAGCTTTTATGATAAATATCAATACAAGGTATAAAAATTTGTTTGGTACATTAATACTTGATAAAAATCTTGTCCAAAATTAAGATTGTTTTCTGATGCAAATTGTTAAGGGCAAATTTGTTTTGCATAATTAACATTTAAATGTCAATCTATCAAAAGTGCATGTTGGAAATTTTGAGTTTTATGTTATAATATTTATATCAAATAACAAAATCACCATTATAAATCTGGTGACTTGATATTAGAGGAACACGAAGGGCAATTTTAGGGTATTTTAAATGTCATTGAGGCCCATTGAACTATCATTTATGAGTCACTGATCAGAAAAATGAAAGCTAAAAGGATAATTTGAAGTAAAATGTGTGAACAAAACTTCCCAACATTCACACCTATAATAGATATTTTATAGTTACACCTTCCAGTTAAAAAGCAGATTCTACAAAGGTACCTAATGTATTTGTTACATCTTTAATTTCTATAATAATTACTTGCCTTAATATTTTTTGTCGATACTTGTTTAATTGAGAAATGTGGTTTTTCTCATTGTGTCCATCCACCAAAGTAAAACTTACAGAAATTATTTCATTAGCAGTATGAGGAGTAGTTCCAAGAACAATAAAAACTTCTTGAATATTGGTTTTACACTGCGAAAATTCATGCTCGATGGCTTGCATAAATGTCTCAAGTTTATCAAGAACACTAGATACAAGAAGGAAGTGGTTTGTAGCTTTAATGTTATTAAACTTCTTAACGTCGATCTCACTTTTTTGTCGTTTTCTAGTGACCATAGTTTTCATCCAGTCATAGGGATAAGGAATTTGGCACTTCTGATACAAGATTCCTTTTAAAATTTCATTTACTAATGATGAACAAGCTAGTGGAGTTAAAAGTATATCAGAAACGTTGATGTTTAATTTGAACATATTTAAGTCTTCAGTTTTAATTTTTTTATTCTTTTTTATGCTTCCTGAAATCACCCTGGACCGTTTTTCGTTCGTTATTTTTTTAACTTTCTAGTTGTCAAAGTTGTCATTGTCAAAGAGGACAAAAATCACCGGTGACCTTAGAATATATATTGTCAGGAAGGAGGAATCCTAAACGACCTTGGAATCGCGATGGTATCTAATTTTGACAGTGTACTAGACGAATATGGCGACAAGTGTTTCCGGTCTACCAGTGACGTACTGTCATAAAGGGGCGTAGAAAAGAAAATAATTACATTCTCATTTGCATATTATTTAAATTTATCGATTTCTCTCATTTTAACGAATTGCTATTTTCTTGCGAGAAGTTTGCATTTTTTTTATTAACCTTCATTATGTGAATAAATTTTACTTTAAAATTGCATGTTGGGTGGGATAAATATAGGAAAATATTTTTGGGATAATTTATAGAGGGATTTCATTTCAAAAATCAAAGCAATAAGGTATTAAAAAAATATTGACTTTTTTACGTCTTTAATATGACAATGTCTTTATTAATCTACATTTTATAAATTATTAAGGTTTGAAAAGTAAATATGTTTTGTGGATATGTGTTAAAAAAAATTTAAATATTTTATACTTATATTTAGGTCAAACACCGCTGTGATATTTCTTTCTTAGATGTTTTTGTTGGAGTACATATAAAACTTCCTAATATCGATGAGAATTTCTGATCATTTTATTACATAATATTATTAGTAGTATTTTTTGCAGAACAATTTTGCATAAGCAGGTAAATCACCTTTCCAAGAAAGGATCCTATAACGTAATAATGATTCTATGAGTGCAAAATAGATTATTTTTAAATGTACATTCAACGCATTATTTGTATGCTTAGTCCAGTTATGATGATAGTCAATTTGTACTCTAAGGACCGATTCCACCGTTGTGTTAAACGGAGTTTAAAATTATATTTTTACATTAACAATGTCATTTTAATCACCGTTTAACACAACGGTGGAATCGGTCCTAAGGTATTTGATATCATTTGTAATACTTATTTGAAACTACTGAACGTTGCCTTTTATTGTTTCTATAGCAAGAGGCCATCTTTTTGTAACTGTATAATTGCCGCGTTTGAGAATCCACATCGGATGCATTTTTATTACATCTCGAGCGTTTTTTTATTCACATCGGACACATCTGTCCCATTACATTTACGTATACTGAATCACGTGATCAAAGATTTACTACATCTCAGATGCATCCGATGTGGATTCTCAAACGCGGCAAATAGAACAACACATGTTGAGTGTAATTCAGTCCTGCTAAATAGGTAGTGGAGAAAATATCCATCATTGGACACCACATCGCCGACAGGAAGGTATAGTGGGGTTTTTTACTGAGCCAAACGAAACTTTTATATATTAGGTTCTTTCGTTCGCTATTGGTGTAGTGTCCACCAGTGTAAATTACACCAGTTTACACCACCTTATTTACCCTAATTTACTTCCTCCTTATTCCTTATACACATCGTCGAGTGTAATTCACTCCTGCTAAATAGCTGGAGGAGAAAATATCCACCAGTGTACACCACATCGCCGACAGGAAGGTATAGTGGGTTTTACACCGGACCAAACGAAAGGTATGGGTGTGGGTTGGTGTAGTTCATTACTACACCCAACTACACCAGTGGGACGAACGAAAGAACCTTACGTTTGGGTTTAGTGTACGTTGGTGTAGTTCATTCCTACACCAGTGGGGCGATCGAAAAAAACTCATGAGTTCATTCCAACACCAGTGGGACGAACGAAAGAACTGTAACCAACGCTGTCAAAAATAGCGGTTGTTACGGTTGGTAATCGGTTAGTATCGGAACATACCATAAATTAGACAGCAATGACAGCAACTTTTGTCAATCTGTCATCAGTGTCATGTCATAGCATTCAAAACAAAAATAATTCCATAGAGAAAAATTAAAAATTTAAAGAAAATTAAATTTTAATTATTTGTTTAAACGATGGAAATAAAACAAGAGCAAGATGCCGTCGATCTTTTTCATGAGTTTGTTGAAACAGAACCAGAAATTGGTTACGATCAAACAAAGCAGAACAAGTTTTGTCTTAAAAAACTAAAAACATTTAAAGAAAACGAGCAAGGTAATGTACTTGGAGATATATTTAATGTTTTTGACTCTGAAACGACTGAACAATTCACACATCTAGAAATTAAAAAAGAACTCGGTGAATGCGAAAAGCCCTCGGAAAAGCCTAAAATTGAAAGACGTTCAGATTTGCTGACAAAAAGTGATACGGTTTCCAAAAACGAGCAAATTTTTACTAAAACTATTAAAAATGAACTTGAGAAAAGTAGCAGTGTTAAAGAAGATATCAAACAAGAAATTACTGAATATATACAAGCAAAAACTGAGAGTGAACTGAGTGAATTGCTGACTTCACATTGTGATTTACCCACTTTAAAAATTGAAAGTACTGATTATTATCAGGAATACTCTGGACGTACATATATCAGAAAGCCATTAAAAAATATCGCTCAAGTTATTTTAAAGAAGAAGAGGAGATACCCATGCCTTATCTGCCACAAGAGTAAGTGCATTTATGAATTTGCTTATTATCTGCTTTTAAATAGGTTAACTGCATCACGTTATTCTGTTTTTGTCTGTTAATCACATCTAAAAATTAGTCTTTTATACAACCCCCAACATCAAATAATCCAAAGAGTGCTTTTTCTTACATAAAAAAACAAAGGTTGTTACAAAACACATTTTAAGCTTCTGAAAAGACAATAGGTACCTATTTTAAAAATATAAAACCCTATAAATCAAAACTACTTTTAAAGAAAAAAATAGTTGCATGATTTTGTTTCGAACCTAAAATAAGATTTCTTATTTCATATACCATGAAACATGTATGGCGGATATTACTATTGAAATTTTACAGAAAGCTTCTAGATGCTTTGAAACACACTGCATATAACTATTTTGGATCCACTCTTAAAATATTGTTTTTAACTTAAAATCATCAAAATGTGTTGTTCAGTCTCGACCATGAAAAAATATGAATTATATTTTTTTAAGAAGAAGATTAAACATTTTATAATACAATATCAAATTAATTTACAATGAGAAATTATTCTTACAATATGCACCTAGATGCAAAAACATCTGTATGTGCAATAAAATTAGATTAAAACTACATAAAATTAACAATACCTATAAACTAAACATTTAATGATTAAAAGGACATAAATATATAAGACTAGGTATTTATAACAAATTTGACAGGGGTATATTTATCAAATATAAATTTTCTGATCGCTTTAGAAAAGGTTTTTATGTTTTTTATTTGTCTGATATTTTCACTTAGAGTTGTATACTTTTGGCCCAATTGAAGAAATTAATCTTTTATTTCCATCATATTTAAAGAATGGTACATTTAGCATTCTTCTCTTTTGTTTTCGGGTCATATAAGAGTGGTTTACAAAATTTTTATTTTTCAGTTTGAAATAGAACATACAGCTAGAGTGAAAGTATAGTGATCTTATGTTTGGAGTGGATTCGTTGTATAAGAGGGTTGTTGAAAACAAACGACTTTTATGATTTATTATCTTTAAGATATAATTTTGAATGATACTTAAAGGATGTAGGGCATTGTCATATAAACCACCCCATACAATTATGCCATATCTAAATAAGTTTTCTTATTTTGTTTGTTAAGTACTGAACATGATCAGTCCATTTAAGATTTTTGTCAACTATTATTCCCAAATATTTGGCATTTTCCACTTCTTTGATGATGAATTTGGATTCTTTAATACAAATCTGTTTGAAGTTAGGCCTGTTAGCATCTGTGAGTGAGAATGCCATATATACTTTCTTCGATATATTTAAAGATAGTTTATTATAATCCAACCAGTCTTTCATAATTCTTACCCCTTTAACCACTTTTGATTTTACAGCCTCCCAGGTTTTACCTTCAAACATTAATACTGTGTCATCTGCATAGGATATTGCTATACCATTTATATCTAAGTTTAAAAGAGAGTTGATATAGATGATAAAAAGAATTGGACCAAGGACAGTTCCTTGTAGCACACCTATTTGAATTTTAACAGGATTACTAAATTCATTTATAATTTTAACCAGCTGTGTTCTCTTGTGTAGGTAGTTTTCAAAAATTCTTAAAACCAATCCTCGAATGCCATAATGTTCAAGAACATTTAGTAGTTGCTTGTGAGGAACAGTGTCAAAAGCTTTCGCAAGGTCGATAAAGATACATATTTTTATTTTCATTCTCAAGACTGTTTTTTATATTAGATATCAATTCATACATGGCATCACAAGTGCTAACACCTTTTTGGAACCCAAACTGTTTAACATTTAAAATCTGTTTATCAATTAGATATTTGTATAATCTTTTTTTCAAACATTTTTGCAAAATTTGTAATCAGACTTATTGGTCTGTAATTTGATGCATCTTTTTTGGATCCGTTTTTAAAAACTGGATTTACAATTTAAGATCTTCTGGTATGTTACCTGTTGTAAAGATTAGGTTTATAATGTGCACTAGAGGCTCTATTATGTATTGGTGACCATTTTTCAACATTCTAGATGTAATTCCGTCAATCCCAGGAGCACTGTTACTTTTTAACAAATTTATATGTTCTATTAATTGATTTTTATTAACAGGATTAAATGCCATTGAGTTGATTAGAGGTGCATGTCTTATTAGGAAGTCATCTACAGAATTGATTTTAGTTGCCATATCTATACCAATTTTTGAAAAATAGTTATTGCAATAGTTGGCCATTTATTTGTCATTTGTAAATTGTTTATTATTGTTTAGAATATTAAAATCATTGTTTGTTTTATTGTTTCGGTGTTCATTTGAAGCTTCTTTAACTATTTTGAATATTTTTTTAATATCATAGTTACTATTTTGAATTTGAATTGTATAATAATAATTTTTAGCTTTATTTATTATTTTATTTAGTTGGTTACGATATATCCTATATTCTCTTAGAAGATTGTTGTTTTTGGTTTTTAATATTTGCTTTTTCATGGTTTTATTTTTTACTGACTTTTTTATAAGTATTATGCCTATTAGTTATATT